TTTGAGCCCAGCCTGCCCTGCAAGGGCTCCTTCCTTGGCTGGGCAGGCCCCTGCCCTGCTCCCTCGAGTTCAGCAGGCTCCTGTCCTTCCCTTTGGCCAGCAGCCCCGTCCCAGGTGTCTGGGCTGGGATTCCACACAAGGATCGTGTGTGAGACAGTGCTGAAGCCTTGTTAAAGCTGAGATGAAGAACATCCAGTGCTCCTTTCCTTGTCCACAAAGATATTTTATTGTAGAAGGCAGGTGAGCCAGGCATGGCTTACCCTCAGTAATTCCATGCTGGCTGTTCCCAGTTGTCTTCTGCATGTCCCCAAAAAGATGTTCTGGAAGGATTTCCTCTGATTCTCCCAGGAACTGAAGTGATACCATCTGGCCTGTGCTTTCTCAGATGGTCCTTTCAGCCTTTTATCAACGACAGGCACAACATTTGCCTTTCTGCAGCCTTGTAATATGTAAATAGTGATTATACCTTCAGTTGCATAGTTTTAATTGTATCCACACAAAGACACTTTCACACCAGGATGAGTGTTAGTCATCCCTGCACCAGCAAAAGCTGTTTCCCAGTCTGTGTTATTAATTTGCATCATTTGAGACTGTGGTAATGTTGTCAGTGAGTGTTACATTCTCAAGACTGGGCAGCTTGAGAAGAGGCTGGGGAGATGTGAGCTTTGCAGGCATGCCAGTGTGTTTATTTTATTGCTTGATCTGTTTAGACACAATACTGACAGTGATCAAAAACCTCTGCTGACCAAATCCAACAGCTCAAACCTCCATCTCCATCATTAAACATGAACACAAAATTTGGTTACCTGAAAATGTTGCCAAATGAGTTCTGTGTCACTCTTTGCCTTGTTTGAGTCACATTCTGTTAAAAGCTCAATTTTTCAGTGAACCTTAGAAGAATACAAACTGTCACAGGCTGTATTTAGAAGGGAGAACTTGAGGCTGCTGCTGTGTGAACGGATGCACGTGTTGCTGGATTAAATCAGCAAGGCAGTGTCAGGTATGAAAAGTGCTGTTTCCTTCCTGCTCCAGGAGCATTCCAGACACTGACCCAGCCCACGGGCAGGACTGAAGGCCATCAGGGTCCTCAGCAGAAGGGGGCATAATTAGCATTATATTTAAGCTTTCTCTAGAGTGCTTTACCTATAAAAACTGATTTTTTTTTAAACAAAACACATATTTATGAGAACTGGCAGGGTGCTGTGGTGTTACTCCTGACTGGGCACAGCCACAGCTGCAGCCCAGGACATGTCATGACTTTGGTGACCTCAGTGAGGCCAGGAAGATGTTGGGGGGGGACAGCCAGGCATCTCAGACAGCAAGAGTACTGCAAGGCTTGCCTTGCTGCGAATGAAAGACATCTGTGTCATTTCCCTGTCCTTGGGCTGCTGTCATTGGCAGGAGCTGCTGCATGCAAGCAAGTTTTCCCCCTGTGGCTAAAGGGTACTGCTGAATGGTGCCAGCCTACCAAGGGAAGGCATTGTGTCAGTGAAATGCAAGATCCAAAATGTACCTCTCATTCAGGCACTAGTGCCCATCCTGTGGGTTACTGCAGCACTGCAGGCAGTAGGCACTCAAGTGGTGTAACAAAAACACCCAAATATTCCTTTTTTTGCCATAGCAGGACCAGCTGGAGCTGAAATGCTCTACAATTTGTCTGGTCCTCCTCTTAAATAAATTTAATGCATTTAATTACAGTAGGATGGAGATTCTACAAACTATTCCACTGCAGTTTGGTAATCAAACCCTCCCCTCGCTGCACTTGAAGTTCTGTTAGCCCTTTCTACCTTGGGCAGGAGGCTTTGCTAAACCTTGCTCCATTTTCAGTGAGTCTCTTGTTTTGTCCAGAAAACAGGCATTTTAGAATTATAACTTCCTCCCCATGCAACTCTTAGCAACCCATCTCCAGTAAAAATCAATCTATACATCTGGTGGGTCAAACTGCCACTGCAAAAAAAAAAAAAAAAAAAAGACATTTTATAGCTGTTGTGGTTTGGTCCTGTGGCTTCTACCCGAGGCACTGGTCAGCAGACTGACAGCAACCTGCCCAAAGAGAATTTCCACTGAAGATGGGCACACACTTACCTGACTTCAGCTGAATCAAGTTACCTATACAGCTGAAAGTAGTTTCTCATTAAAAGTAGCTTGCTTTTTGCCAAGACTAGCACCAGCTGAGGATGATTGTCCAATATTGTGTTCACTCCTCTTGGCAGACTATCACTATAAAAAGATTCCATGACTTACATGCAGCACAAGTTTAAACAGGTGACCATAATATTTTGATTTGCAAATGCTTGCAGAAGAGTGAAAATAGTATCCCACTTTTCATAGATTTGAGATTAAGCTCTTTGCTGCTCCTAGAATTTAAATTATTCATGCAAACAGCTCCCTGTATTTAAGGAGTCAAAGTAGCAACACAAACACTCTCTGTTCTAATAACCTTTTCAGAGTGACCAAGAACAAGCATGTTTCTGCTCACTCAGTGCCACAAGGAGTGTGCTGGTAATGCCAGAAATCACAGGAGCTTACTTCAAAAAATCAATCCAAAAATCCTTTAAGGTTTAGTTTCTGTTAGACTCGGACTTGTAAATCTTTAAAGGGCAAATTGTCCTGTTGAATGATTACATAAAGTAACTGAAGAGCCTTGCTGTCAGGCTGGCTTTTGCTGAATCCTGTCATCTTTCTGCAGTAGTCTGAGATTTGTTGTTTGGTTTTTTTTACCTCCCCCACCCTGAACTGGTCTTGAAGCTGTAACTCTTCCACTTTCCCTGGTAAGCCTTTGATGAGATGCCCAGTGCTGGGCAGCAGCGAGGCCAGGCAGCTCCTGGCCTTTCCAGAGCAGGGCTGCAGCTCCCTGGAGAACAGAACCAGGAGCTACAGGCTGTGGACACAAGTTTTCCTCTTCCACAGGCTCTGCAGAAGCCAGTGCCATCCAGGACACAGGATCTGCTGTTATCCTGAGGGATTTCAGGCGTTGCTATGGGGCTGGTACTGCACAGCAGCTCAATGGAAAGGGACATGGCAAACACTCCAATCCAGCCCGGCCAGTTAACCCTCAGAAAACACCCAAGACAGATTTTCTTTGATCTTTCTTGCTTTTGTGTCCGGTAACAGTCAACTGCATTAGAATAATATAAGGATCCTCAAACTTCCCACAAGGAGGTAACAGAAGTACAGAAGAAAACTCTTCCCCACAGCATCACACTGGAGCTCGATTCTAATGCGTGGTGGACACAGATTAAACCTACGTGGACCAGGAATCACAAAACCAAACACATCTAACTTTAACAGCTTACAAGAGCCTGTGGAGCACTCCCCGTAGAGCAAGAGACAAACTGGAACGTGTTTAGCACAAGGACAGCTGCAGCCACTGAGTGTTATTTAATGCAAACCCCACTGCATTTGATAATCAGACCTGACACCATCTCTGGAGCCATCTGATGGAGATCTAAAGGAACACTTCCACACAAAATCAGATTCTCCCTCCTAATTGCTGTGGCTGGGAGTCAGTAGCAGTGACTAATGAACCCTGGGTCCTCATCCACAACCCATCCCACACATGTTTTGACTCCATTCTTGACTGTCCTGCTCTCCTGACCCCATCTGCCACCCTGCTGAGCAGCTTTTCAAAAGGAAACCACACAAGCGTGGATTACTCTTCACTTTCCTAGCTCCCTTTTTCTGTCAGGACTCATCTCCTTTCTCATCTTCCTGGTGCTGTCCCAGCAGCTCCTCCACAAGCCTCTTGCCAGGGCAGCCTCTGTGGACTGAGCACCCCTCCCCATCTCAGGTGTTGGTAAAGCCACACAGCAGTGTGAGCCTCTGCCCTGAACACTCCAGCACCCATCTTTCTGCTCCAGAGTACTCTTAAACTCCAAACTGCTGCTGCTCCTTGTCCTGCCTCTGGGTAACAAAAAAAAAAAAAACAAAAAAACAAAAACAACCCAAAACTGAACAAAAAGCAAACAAAAAACAACAAAAACACCCCAAAAAATTCCAAGCCAAAAACAACAACAACAAAAATCCCTAAAAACAAAAAAAAAAACAACCCAAAACTGAACAAAAAGCAAACAAAAAACAACAAAAACACCCCAAAAAATTCCAAGCCAAAAACAACAACAACAAAAATCCCTAAAAACAAAAAAAAAACAACCCAAAACAATAAACAGACAAACCAAATTTTTTTTTTTTTTTTTAAGCCATTTTCAGGGATTAGAAGTGACATAGTGCTGGCTGATATTCAGTACCAAGGAACTGCCATCACCCAGAGTGGTCCAGGACTTCAGCCTAATTCTTATGCTTTGTACAGTCAGTGTAGAGTTAAGGATATTTGTCATCCACATGGGTAGATCTCTTTTACTTGCAAAGAGTTAAAGCCACATTCTCTGAACTGTCGAAAACAAACAACCTCCCCTTCTTTCATTCTCCTACGGTCACAGCTTTCTGGTTTGTCCAGGTCTCCTTCCACCAGGCTCCACCACAAAACACAGCTGCATCAAGGCTCGCTCCACTGCCACTCTCGCTGCCTTTCTGTCAGCAGCAAGGCTCGCTTTGCACTCTAGCCCGGAGTGTTTTCAAACACGCACTTGGCTGTTTTCTCCCCTCAGACCTTCCCTAAAGCTGAGTACTCCACACGGGGACCAGCGCCACCGGTGCCCACGGGAGGAAGGGCGCTGCGATTCCGGGAATTACCGAGGGCAGGTCCGACGGCGATTTGCACACCGGGTTTAGAACCGGCGAAGGAAACCGCTGGGATGCTCTCTCTAAGAGCTGCGAGGCGGAGTGCTGTACCCTAATTAAACGCCCTGCTATCAGCCGGCAGTGCAGAACAGCTCTGCCGCCCGCTGTCCCGCAGCGCAGGGGCCGGGGGGCGGCAGAAGCGGCGCTGCCCGGGCACCGGGGACCCCCGGGCACCCCCGGCACCTCCCCGGCCCAGCCCCAACCCTCGGAGCCCCCGCGCACGCCCGCCCAGCCAGACCTCGCCGTCTCCATAACCGGGGCAGCGCCGCGGGGCGAGCCCCGGGGGTGCCGGCCGCTAGCGGCCCTTCCTGCCCAGCGCGGTCCGGTGCCGGAGCTGCCGGGCCGCCGGCACTTTGGACAGCGGGCAGTACTTGATGGTGTGGGCATTGTCGCCGCTGGCGCCGCAGAGCGGGCAGGTGTAGCGCCGCAGCACCGGGCACAGGACGCGGCCGTCGGGTCCCTTGAGGATGTGCGTGGTGTAGAGGGCCACCGCCTCCTTGTTGTTCCGGCAGAAGACGCAGACCTGCAGCTCGGGCTTGAGCAGGCGGGAGGCGGCCCGTTTTTTTTCTTACAATAAACAAACACAGCGCATCCCCGCCTCGCAGCGCCGGGCTCCGCGCGTTCCAGCGCGCAGCGGCCGCCGCGGGCCGGGGCCG